TCAGCATCAGAGGAGTTTAAATTGCCGCTGCTGATTTACATTGATGAGATAGAAGTTGCAAATCCATTAGGTACTTCGAGGAAAATACACAACTCTGTTCGGTGTACTGGGTATTTGCTGATCTACCTAGTAAATACCGATCAGCTTTGCATGTTATTCAACTAGCAGTGCTGTGTAAAGTTCTTGATGTCCAAGTTCAAGTTCAAGTCTTTATTTTTGCCAGAACGACCCACATCGCCTGGAATTCATTTTGGTGAAATTGCTCACACAAGACAATACAACATAACATGACATACAATAAAAGCATAAAATCTAAACAGAGAGCAACTACTTAGATTGCTGCTAATAAATAGAATAAAACTAATCAGACAAAGTGCTAGTGCGTTTAGTGAGCCTGAGAAGAAGTAGATTGTTGTTGTTGTATTGTGCCAGTTGAGTTGGCTTCACGCTTGATTATTTGAACAGGAAAATTGAAACATTCTCATATCAGCATACAGATAAGGTTGATAAACCAAAGCCAATTTCCAAAACTTATACCACAAAAATGACAATAGGTGGTAATGGTCATGAAAATGCTGCATTACTTCAGCTACTTCCATTTATGGTTGGCAATGTTGTACCAGAGGGAGTTCTACCAGAAAGACTCGGGAGATAAGATACTGTACGATATAACATTTTATTAACAGCCCAGCAAGCCATATGCAATAAAAGTTCTTTGGCGTAGGCCCCGTCCGTAACTCGCGATCCGAGGGTATGGATTCGGCATATCCTGCCTGAAGATGAAGGCAGGGGCGCAGCCGACCCCCCCTTGGAGTTTTGGAAGGGACCGACCTGGTGGTGGTGGTGGGAAGGATGGAGCGAAGACCGTCTTGGTGGAGGTGGGGAGGATGGTGGTAAGTGAAGCGTCAGCATCTGCGAACTCAGACAAGTGTAAGTAAGGGTCTTTTATACTTCACGTATTAGAACGCGATTGGATAGATGAGAAGGTAATAATGACGTGACAATTGAGTCTTCCTGGCAGAACTTGCGCTACACTTTCATATGTGCAGTGTTAATGGAATTGAAAGACATTGTGGAGTTAGTGCTGTCTCCAACATTTACTGAAGAAATGATTCAGTATCTACAGAGTAAAATTAGGGACCACAGGCAAATTCTTCTTGAAGTATTTCCAGATTTTAAGCTTCGGCCAAAGCATCACTTCGTCGAACATTACCCAGAGCTAGAGCTGTCGCGATAGTCAATATATCGACTTATCGTGCGATATATGGAAACCAGTGCCATCATTTTTGGTGCCGCGATATATTGCAACAGATAATTTGTTTTACTATTAAGAATAATAATTAGATTCATTTTTACAATAAAATGAATGTCATGTGCATTTTAGCTGATCGCGCTGCCTCTGTCATCTTGTCTGCACGCGTCCACCACACACACACACACACAGGGAGAGAGCGGACACCGGCAGGTTAAGAGAAGGCGTGAACCAACCAACTGCATTTTAAAGTGTTCTCGTGACATCTACAGTTAGGAAGAACGAGTCCAACATGGAATTGATTTCAAAGCCACAATCTTCAGCTCCGGTGTGGGAACATTTTGCCTTTAAAGGAGCATTTCACCCATTGCAACATTAATCTTTATTGAAAGTGGATCATATATGTAGTCGCAATGTAAAATAATTTTTTAATTTGGTGCCCCCTTGACCGAGAAAAGACAGAAAATAACCAAGGGGCGCCTATATATGAAAAAACTACATGTCCCACAATCCACAGCACCTCAAGCCACACCCACTAAGGAACAGCGGCGCAAACAGAGAATCCATTCTTCCGTCTACAAGGCTAACATTAGCTGTCACTGGAGTTTGAAATTCATTTCACACAAAATGTCTAGTTGGCTGTGGCGAGCAGGACGATCGAGGGCGAGGGATGTAACTTAAGAAGCCTGTGTTTCGTGCGAGGCTGGTGGCGTGAGTTATAACAGAGACTGATAATGAAAGACACATGTGAGCCGCGCGCCAGTCCCGCATCTCTCATGGAGAACCGAAAGCATAAAACGGGGAGCGACGATGGCAGATCGAGAGAGAAACAGCCCTTATTTTATGCTGTGTTTTGTTTCTGTTGTGTGTAACGTTACAGCAGTTGCCAATGAGGGGCTGCTGGCTTATACTTTCGTTTTGTATTTGTTCATTTTACTATTAAATTGCTTAAATGTTCGCCGGTTCCTGCCTCCTTCTTCCCACAACAACAAACCCCATTAACGTTACATTGGCAAACTCATTAGTGAATTACTCCTCGTTTGTATTTATTTCTGTTTGGTGAGTTACTGCATGTTACCTGGATGTTTAGTCAGGCGAAACTATCACAACACAAACGTCCGTGAGCTCGTCTGATTCAGAGATTTCCTCAAGGAGAAATTGCCATCGTTGAAATTCTCTGCAGCAGACGGACTGTGTCTGTAGGCCGTAGTACGCAGCGAGAGCACGGGCACCAGCAATCCGCCCAGCGCCAGAGTCAGTGCGGGGTCCTTGACCGCGACAGGCCGCCGCCTCGGCGTCTCCTGCTCCTCCATCAGCCTCAGCTGCTCTAAACTATACTGCGACTCGTAAAGATAGCCACGGACATCGGATTCGAGCAGCAGAATTTCAAAATCCTCTTCTTCCATATCATGTTTAGTTTCTTCCATCATTGTCATAACTTATGATCTCCACAGCGCTTGTTAGCTTAGCTTCCAAACAAGATGGCTGATATTGATTTCAGTTTCTGCAAGTGAAGTCCCACCCACTGATCTGTAATAGGCTTGTAGGGTGAGTGGGTCCAACACCCTGGAATAATAATGAGCTAACATATGTAGTTCAAAAGATTTTAATGAAATATGACTTCCTGCTTATCGTGACGCAAAATGACGATTTTTACGTCACGATAAGCAGGAAGTTAAACACTTAAATCCTTATTTCTCCCATCTCATGGGAAAATAAGGAAAAAAACCATGATCATTCAAAAATATGACTGGGTTTCTAAAGATACAAAGCTTAATGCAAATGGGTGAAGTGACCCTTTAAGCCAAACAAGAGAGGAGAGATAATAGTGAACGAGCGGGTATGTCGACTGTGTTTTAAAACAGTAGCAACGCGACGAGGCAACACAACAAACTTAAAATCGCACCTAAAACACAACCATCCCACCCAGCTTTTCAACCTGGGCAGCTGGAGTTGGAGAGGGGCCTTCTTCCAGACAGTTATGTTGCAGATGCATTTTCCCGTCCCGACAGTGCAAATATAGCAGTAAACGTGCGCGAAATGGCGCACACTCACGGATAGCGTAACTCTCAGTGTTGGTAAATTTCACTTTCTACACGAACTAGTTCAAAGTTCAGTTCACACATTTTAAAATGAATTAGTTCAGTTCATAGCTAATACAAAAAAAACTAGTTAATTTATAGTTCTTTTTTCCATGTTGTGAGCTTTTTTTATTAGGCTGTTATTGTCACAGCCCATACAACCACAGACAACAATTATTTTATCGACGGCCAGTTTGCACAGAAATGTGAGATTTTTTTTCCCATCCGCACTGACCTCATAAAATCTGTTTAAATGATCATACATCTCCTCACTCGCTGCTTTGTCGACGGTGGCCGCGGCGCGGTTGGTGTTGCCAGATTGGGTGTTTAAGGCATGTTTACGTGTGTTTTAGCCGGGTTTTCGCCTGGAAGGCTCTATACAAATCGGCACCCTATTGTACGAAGGTAAGAGTTTGAACTGATAGAGCGTGCGTTCGCAGACACCAGAATGAATGCGTTCACAGTAACGTTCATCAGGCAGTAATACAGTACATTCTTCAGTTCACTCAAATATGAACGCGTTCATGAACTATCGTTCATTGAACGCGTTCAGGCACAACACTACTCCCTATTTAGCCAAAGAGATGCAGCCATTATGCACGGTCGAAAAACCAGCATTTAAAAATATGAAATGTCCTGTTGATGCATCTGTGCCTTTGTGTGAGACACTTTAAAAGTTTAAATTGACATATTTCTTTGTTTTGATCTAGTTTTTGATACCTGACACTTTTTTGTTAACGAATGTGTATTTATTTAGGCTACTTATTTTATTTATTTGGGATATATTTTTTCACATTTCACAATGTCTAAATATTGATTAGAATAAGAATAAATGTTCTTTGAAACAGTGTACTTGCATTATAATGCTATTATATTGTCATAGGCAATCAGTGGCATAAAATGGTCTGAAAATGACAATAATATCGTTTATCGCAATTAATTTTGGTGCAATATATCGCACAACAAAAAGTAGTTATCGTGACAGCTCTACCCAGAGCTGATCAGATGTTTTGGACCTCTTGTACATTTATGGACCATGCGTTTTGAAGGCAAACACCGCTTCTTCAAACGGGTTGTCCATGATACACAGAACTTTAAAAATGTGCTGAAGACACTGGCAAGCAGACACCAGCAAATGATGGCTTACCATCTGAGTGCGCCAGCGTTCTTCAAACCACATTTGCAGGCATCAACTGTGACATCTGTTTTAGTTTCAACACTACCTGAAGTGGCAATACAGTATATTAAACAGAAGTCTGATAGTAACACTATATACTGCGCATCTCGAATCACCATTGATGGGACATATATTTCTACTGGGCAATATTTTCCTTCTGGTTATGAAGCAGGGTTTTGTAAAACTGAGTCAATCCTCCTGGTGAATGATCATGTGGCCTTTCTATGCAGGGAGTACAAGTCCCATTATATTGAACACCTAAGAGCTTTTAATCTGTGTTTAAGTGATATATCTGTTAAAACGACACATCCCCCCTTTCTGCCTACAGCAGGGGTGCCCAATCCTGCTCCTGCCGATCGACTTTCCTGCACAGTTCATCTCAAACCCTAATCAAACACACCTGAAGTAGCCAATTAAGGTCTTTAGGATCACATTCAGGTGTGTTTGATTAGGGTTGGAGATGAACTGTGCAGGGCAGTCGATCGCCAGGAGCAGGATTGGGCACCCCTGGCCTACAGCATAGAGGGCCAGTTGCTGTTAACGCTAAAGCGATTTCTACCTTTACAATAAGGTAAAGATTTTTACATTATTTGGAAATATGTCCAGTTCATCTTGTTCAAAACTGTATTTTTAACTTGTCTTTTACCTTGTTTTGGTCTCATAGATGGAAGAATCACAAAAACTTTTACTGACAATTTACATTGCTCCTGACATCGCCCACAAGATGACCCTTTCTGCTCGCCCAAGTACAGTAGAAGAGTTGATTACAGTAATTAAAGAGAAATTTAGACCTTGTCTTGATTTTGATTTCAGCCTTCAATATGAAGACCCAGACTTTGGGGGGCAACTCTGCTTTCTAACAGACATTTCAGAACTGCCAGAGAAGGCTGTATTAAAGTACAAAGATCTGAAATTGATGCTGGCTCAGCTGCAAGTTCAGACACAGAAATACTCACTTATGCCCCAGAACGCTCTCAGGGTTGGCCTGATGTGTTCCCAGTTCCTCAATTTTCATATGATGTCGAGCACACCCTAAATTGTGGAAATACTAACTATCAAACCAGTGGAAAGTACTTAAAATTAACAAAAGGCCAAAAACATGATATTTTAGAAAATATGGCCAAGGTAATGCACAGCTTTAAGGCTTACCCCAGCGACAAAGAAGTTGCTAAAGCAGCTGAGGCTCTTATTTCTAAGCATCCCCAGGAAGTCAATGTGGATGGTATGGCTGGAAGACCAGTTTAAAGTTTAAGATGGGCAACTATCGTACAAAACTCAGCAGATCTGGCTGTGAAGAGGTGGCTGTTAACTCGGGGAAGAGAAGCCAAAATAATCCAGAGAGTGAGTCTCCCCACTCTAACATCAAAAGAGCTCGTCGAGCTGAGGTAAACTACCTACCAAATTTTCCAAAAGGTGAGAGTGCTGAAAGCTTGGAACAACAAAGACTGCAAATAGTTGAGGAAGTGTCTAAGACTGAAAGAAGTCTTGGACTGATAGAGAAACTCATGCAAAGTACATTTGCGCTGCGTCGCAAACAGATCGTTGTCGATAACCCATCACAACCAGTGAAGGACTTTTTGGAAAAGTGGCCTGCACTTCATTTGGAATCTCAGGTAATTTTCTCAGTTGCTGTCTGTTGGATTCCATTTTTTGTGCGTTTATGTGTGTCTGTTTCTTTTGTTTTCTTGTTTACAATTTTTAAAATGTTTTTTGATTGAATGCTTACTTTCAGATTGCTGCAGAATTCCACAGAATTACTAATATCAACTTGAAAAACAAGTTCTATGCAGAACTGGACAACCATACACCTCGACAGATTGCAGTTTACAGGCAGAAGGCTATCCGTACTGGAAAAGTAGCAGAAGCACTGAGAAGCATCTTAAGTGCCTTTGATCTTGTGGTAAATGTTGTTAATTACATTTAAAGTTGATTGGTTAATGTGCACAAGTATTTTATCTGTTAATAGTTTAAACCTGGCTTTCAACTTTTTTCGTTTTAAATTTCTTCCCCTCTTTCATCTGTACTGTTATCTATATTTATATTTCTTTTGTCTTGCACCACTAAGACAGTTCTGTCTTTTTTCAGGATCACTGCGATGTTGAAAATAGACGTACAGCTGCACTTCGAGCCCTCCCTGTCTACTTGCGCGAAGATGACTCTGTGTTTTTCAAGATGTGGAATGTAGGTTTTTAAACATCTCATTTGAAATTTAATGTTATTTATCTGATTATGCTCATGACGTTCTCTCACGCTTTTCAGACTGAAGAGGTGGATGAGCCAGACATTGCAGATTCAGCTGTAGCTCTTGTCAGCATGGTGAATGGAGACTCGACTTCCACTGTTCAGTTTGACCCTGCTGGGATTGCTATTGTGCTGGAAGGTGACATTGTTCTAAGGGACATATCCAGGTTGGCTGATGCTTTTCTTTTGATGTTTGGTTAGATATATGCGTTACATCTCAACTACCCCAAAGAGCTGACCCACACATTTAACTTCATCCAAAAAGTCTTACTGGGCTTGGATGACTCAGTGCCACTAACACCCAGATTGCTGAGTCTAAAAAAATGATCTACTAATTAAGGAGTAAGGGGAATGGATGTACGAGATCTATACAATTTTATTTTCGGTTCTTTTCAGTTGTTGTGACTATGTAGTTGCCCTATTAAACACTGAGCTCAAGATTTCAAATTTCCCAGTGAAGTGGAGAATTTCATTTTCATTTTAGTATACATTGATTGGGATTGCGTTACTGAAAGCCATCACTCAGATTACTACATTTTATTTTTACGGATTAAGAGATTTTCTGCATTTCTAGATGCACAAGAGACTGTTTATTGTATTTTATTTCACTTGTTGTTACCTATAATATTATAGTCTATTGTAATACTACTCAAATTTTGAAATTTTCCAGAACACAGATTGTGTTGACTTAGTATTTGCTGGGATTGCGTTACTGAAAGCCACTAGCACCCAGATTATTGTCTAAATGTTATTTTTACTGATTAAGAGATTTCTGGATGCACAAGAGTCTGTTTATTATATTTTATTTCACTTGTGACTAATAATATTACAGTCTATTGTAATACTTCTCATATTGTGAAATGTTCCAGAACACAGATTGTGTTCACTTAGTATTTTCTGGGATTGCGTTACTGAAAGCCACTAGCACCCAGATTCTAAATTGTATTTTTTTCTGATTAAAGGCACTCTATGCAAGATCTGTACCTTAATATAACAGCTTCAAAGTCGTTTCAGTGGTTAACAGCGATGCTGACCTGCCAATCTTGTGATGGACTTGTGAGTAAATCTCTTATTTGTAAACTTGTTTGCGTTCTATGTTGTATGTTGCTGCACTAGCTAGTTTGTCATTTTTTACGGTGCTGTTCATTCATCCATTGTTGATAATTAGATCAGTTCATATAATTCCCACAAGTCTAGCTAGCTTTCGTTTACCAAAGCTGTAAGCAGGCTTCCTAACAAACAGTCGTTTCTCTTAGTTCTGTTGTTTTTTCGTTATGTTTTATTGCCTAGGTTGCCACAAGAGCTAGTGTGCCAGCTGAACTCAGGTGTTGTGATGTGTATCACGTAACGTTTGTCCTGTGTATGGTTCGGATTTCTTATGTCGTGCGTAAGGTACTGTTATAAACCTTATCTGACTAACAGTGCACTTCCCGACTGTAATTTTTTTTCAAATTGTGTTGATTATGAGTTAAATTTTGACGCTGTTGATGTTGATTCCTGTGATTATCACGAGGACATAGTCAATATATCACATAATTATTAGGACATATAAGCCTAGAGGTTGTAAATAGTGTAATTGAACACAATTTGCTAACTATTATGATAAATTGTAATCATGTCTAATGAAATCATAACGGCCAATGTTATGAAATAATGTGACGTACATTTAATTTTATTGATGTAATCTGACATTTTGTAATGTTTACATTACAATCAAAAACAAATGAAATTATACATTAGTCCTACCCTATAGGCTATTTACCTGGGATTTAGCAAAAATCATGTAAAAACGTTATAAGTCAGCAAATGAGATTTTATAAGGCAACTTTATTATTATAAAGTAGTCTAACACTTGACAGTTGACTTATTTATGACAGTGCAAGTACACCACAGCGGCTCTAGAGGTCACTGTTTTACAAAAAAATCAGAGAGTGCATAGTGTGCCTTTAAGAGAATTTCTGCATTTTTAGATGCACAAGTGACTGTTTGTTGTATTTTATTTCACTTGTGACTAATAATATTACACTCTATTGTAATACTTATCAAATTGTGAAATTTTCCAGAACACAGATTATGTTCACTTAGTATTTGCTGGGATTGCGTTACTGAAAGCCACTAGCACCCAGATTCTAAATTTTATTTTTTTTCTGATTAAGAGATTTTCTGCATTTCTGGATGCACAAGAGACTGTTTGTTGTATTTTATTTCACTTGTTGTGTCTAATAATATTCAGTCTATTGTAATACTAATCTCATATTTTGAAATGTTCCACAACACAGATTTATACAGTTATAATGCTGGCATGAACCGTGTAAAACCTTGCGAATGTTTTAATGCATTATATATTTCTAAAATGTCTAGAAATTGAAACTTGGTACGTTCTCAAAAGGTAATGGCAGTGACGCATGTTAATGCATCAGGTTAAAGCTATTGTTATTCCTTTTGCAAAATAAAACGTACTTTCATGTATGGAGTTTGAAATTGTCTTCCTTTCTAATGTTTAAGGAATAATGTTTTGCTAATGTTAATTTTGAGGTCACATTTCTTAAATTAATTATTGTATTTATTTTTAAATGTTAAACATTTTGTATTTCTAATTTCTGATAAATAAAAATAATTGAATTAAATGCATAGAAAAAAGTTGAGTAATAAAAATAAAAATAAATAATTTGAGTTAATCTGCTCTATAGATTTAAGTGTAACTAACTTAAAACAATTAATTTGATCAACTTAACAGTTTTGAGTAAATCTGCTCTATGGCTTTAAGTGTAACTCACTTTAAACAATTAATTTTATCAACTTAATAGTTTTGAGTTATCTGCTCTACAGATTTTGGTGTAACTGACTTAAAACAATTAATTTTATCAACTTAAAAGTTTTGTGGTAATAAGTTTCCTCAATTTTTTTGAGTTATCTTAACTTATCCGGGTTTACAGTGTATTTTTCCCCTCGGGGCTTGCCGTAGATGGGTCGTGCGCAGACTGCGCACTTGGTAGGCTACTGGAGTGTCGCGGGTTTTTGGAGGTCTGATGTGTGGTATAATAAAGTGGAGAAGAGTTCAAACTGCTATGTTTATTATTTATTCAAACTGCTACCCTTACACCTTGAAGGTTAAGTTCCCCTGCGGGCTGTTTTCTCCAATACCGATACCGTGACTAGGCGCAGTTGCGCACGAATTGTCTATGCACGCGCGAGGTGTCTAGAGGATTATGCGCATGACTTAAACGCTGGCAGACACAGCAGCAGTTGTAGGCAGGTATATTGATCATTAAATCAGAGTTTTGTTGTCTTGAATGATTCATTCAGTCATATTCATTCATTCATTGATTTATGTCACTTGTTTAAGTAATCTAAAAAAAAAAAAAGAAAAGAAAAAATAACCCCGATTAGGGGGGCCCCTGGTGGCCAGATATTTTCCCACGCAGTTTGCGTTCCCACGTTGGCCAAAACCTGTTGACAGCTCGGACAGACACTTCCTGTTTAATGTCCCGCTGGCAGTGTTTCAGAGCTCCGTACGTTAATGGAGCGTTTCATAGTGTTTGAACTTGGACACAAATCTAAAGAAATGCGGTCAGTGCTTAACAAGCAGTTTAGTGAAGTTATTATATATTATAATAACTATAATAGCATAGCAATATATTCACGTGCTATTCGAACTTCCCGGATCAATATTCTTCAGCTAAACGTTGTTAAAACAAAGACGACACCTATTTACAATCACATTAACCTATAGACAACGAGCTACAACCCAATTCTCCTCAAAACGAGCTTTATAATATAAATTTGTCTTTAACCGGCCGATTGAGAGACTAGTCCGAATAAGGGTCCGTCTGCAAAGTGCAAATCCCAAAACTCTTCTGCACATTTTATATTATTTGACATATTCAATAGCTTCACTGTGATACACTGTAGGCTACTGTCACCAAATTCAGTTCCAATAACTTTACCCTTTTTAGAAAAAAAAATATCTGTAACTTCACACTGTTATACAGTGTAATGCCATCAAATTCAGTAAGAAAATATATTGCAAAAGCTATGGTTGTTACTATTATGTTAGCTGCGTACAGTACCAATATAATTTGTGTAAAGAATAGGCCTACTTATTTTTTTTATGTGCAATTACTTCCCAAACTAAGTGTTGTACCACCAAGATTAGAGCAGTGATGTGTGAACTAAATTTGGTGTGTTACAGTGAAGTTATTACACATCAGTGTTGTTTTTGGCAGCCCTTTTAGTTTTAGTCTTAGTCTTAGTCTTTTGGACGAAATTGCTTTTAAGTTTTAGTCACATTTTAGTCACTTATAAACTTAATAGTTTTAGTCAAGTTTTAGTCGACGAAAACACAAAAGGTTTTAGTCAAGTTTAATCAATTTTAGTAAAAAAAAAAAAAAAAGAAGTAGTCTTTAACAAATTAATTTAGTTTAAAAAGTAGTGAAAATGGGCTTAGGTTTGACAGATTTAGCAAGTGTTGCAATTCATAAAACAAGCTAACCTTACAACCTTTGCATAATAAACTAGACTTTCTCATTGATGGAGATGCAGTGCTGCCATTGCCAAGCTGTACTTCATTGTCACATTGGGCAGACACCTTTTATCCCCATATTTCAAGTTACAGTTTTACCCCTGAATATTAAAAGCTATTTTCACCAGTTCTCACAGTAATAAAGGAATAAAGGAATTGGTTTAAAGTTTAAACATATATATGTTATATATTAAAAATATATTAAATTAAAGCTGCAAGCAGCGATGGGCGGGCCCTCGCACCTGTAGCGCGTTGGGGTGTGAGGCGGCCGCGTTGCATATTCTGCGGCTCAGCCGGTGTGGCTGTAAATTTGGTTCGCTGCTTCGTTAAAGGTCACTTTCTGTTGCCAGCAGGTGGCGCTATGACTTAGGGTGAATGCGGGCATGTAGATTTGTTCAGGGCGGGACTTTTGTCAAATGTGTCAAATTTCATTCAGATCTGGGCATTTACAGCCAAGTTACTACAACTTCCTGTTTCATGGCGAATCATCGACGCCACGGACATGCCCATCGATGAAAACGCGCAGAGAGCACAACTTTACATCGTCAATGCCTTTAGAAGGCACAGCAGAAATTTGAAGTCGATCCAACTAAATCCCTAGGAGGAGTTCGTTAAAGTACGGAGTGTGTAAATCGTCCCAAAATGGGCGCCAAATTCAAAATGGCGGACTTCCTGTCGAGTTTAGGGTATGGGTTCTTGAGGCTTTTTTTTTTGTACGTCTGGTCATGGTAGATGTACCACAGAAATTTCGTACATGTCGGTCAATCAAGTGGCGGGGGCTGCTTCGTTAAGGGTCACTTCCTGTTGCCAGCAGGTGGCGCTATGACTGTGGGTGAATGTCGGCATTTAGATTTGTTCAGGGCAGGACTCTTGTCAAATGTGTAAAATTTCCTGCAAATCTGGGCATTTATAGCCAAGTTACTACAACTTCCTGTTTCATGGCGAAACATCGACGCCACGGACACGCCCATCGACGAAAGTGCGCAGATAGCACAACTTTACATCGTCAATGCCTTTAGAAGGCACAGCAGAAATTTGAAGTGGATCCCACTAAATCCCTAGGAGGAGTTAGTTAAAGTACGTAATGAGTAAATCATCCAAAAATGGCGGTAAAATTAGAAATGGCCGACTTCCTGTCGAGTTTAGGGCATTGCTCCAAGAGGCTTTTCTGTGCGTCTGGACATGTTAGATGTACCACAGAAATTTTGTGCATGTCGGTCAAACATGCGGCGGGGGCTGCTTCGTTAAAGTTCACTTCCTGTTGCCAGCAGGTGGCGCTATGACTGTGGTTGAAAGTCGGCATGTAGATTTGTTCAGGGCGGGACTCTTGTCAAATGTGTAAAATTTCGTGCAGATCTGGGCATTTACAGCCAAGTTACTACAACTTCCTGTTTCATGGCGAATCATCGACGCTACGGACACACCCATCGACGAAAACGCGCAGATAGCACAACTTTACATTGTCAATGCCTTTAGAAGGTACAGCAGAAATTTGAAGTCGATCCAACTAAATCCCTAGGAGGAGTTCGTTAAAGTACGGAGTGTGTAAATCGTCCCAATTTGGTCGCTGAATTCAAAATGGCGGACTTCCTGTCGAGTTTAGGGTAAGGGTTCTTGAGGCATTTTTGTGCGTCCTCAAAGGATACACGTCCCCACCAAATTTCGTGCATGTAGGTTGAACGTGGACGAGGGGCTAATTTTTTCCAATTTTCTAGGTGGCGCTAGCGAGCCATTTTGCCCCGCCCATCAGCGAAACCCACAAAATACGAAATTTTTCACCAGTCCTGACATGAGTGCCAAATTTGGTGAGTTTTTGAGCATGTTGTGGCCCCGAAAATGGCACTTACTTTGCAGAAAAAATAAAAAAATAAAAATAAAATATAGCTGCGAGCAGCGATGGCGGGCCCAAGCCGGTGGCACCGCAACCCCGGCTCCTTTAGTTACCTAAAGGCACCGGGGTGGCGGTGCCGAAGGCTTTGGCCCTTTCATGATTAAATGTTAAAACGGCTTGCCATAGTCTGTCATTTTGACTAGTCACAATTATGTTACAGATATCTTAAATGATAATACAAACTAT